ATGAGGTGGTGCTGCTGACTGGGATTGAATACCTCTTCATTGGAGGAGCAGGAGCAACATCACTATAAAATTAATAATAATAATAATAATAATAAAGTATATTTCATCAAAAAATGACGAGGAGAGTACTCTGATATACATGTGCACATTCATGAGTTAATTTTTACATTGTACCTCCCTCACCTCATTGGTCTATTAGCAACAGTTCCCTCACCACCACCAGCACCACCAGGCCCTTCATCTTCCTCAATCTCTTCCCCTTCAGCCTCCCCTCCCTCAGCCTTCCCCAGTTTCCTCTGAAGTATTAGTTTAGTCTCTCGTTCAAGTCTCCGAATGTCGTCCATCGTAAGCCCCACCCACTCGTCTTGCCACGCCCAGGCCTGACGATGAGCTCGAAGCATAACACGCCTTAGACCATAGTCGTGAATGAAACGCTCAATCCTGGACTGGAGACCCCAGTAACGAAATTCTACCTATTGGAAGAAAAAGAGGGGAGGGAGAGAGAGGAGGGAAAGGGAGAGAGAGAGGGAGAGAGAGAGAGAGAGAGAGAGAGAGAGAGAGAGAGAGAAAGGGGAGAGAGGGAAAAGAGAAACCTAGATAGCCAGTATAATAATTGCATTCATGACTATTTAATTATATAATAAATACAATAATTAGCCTGACAGTGTGCTGGTAATTACAAACACCATAGCAATGATGTAATGGTAATTTGACACCAAAACACTTATTATTAAATCAATAAAATTACAATAATAATAATAATAATAATAATAATAATAATAATAATAATAATAATAATAAGAGAAATAAAAATTAACAAACATCCATACAATACTCTAAGCAGTAATTTGGACTATAATCATTTCAATTTCAAACATGAAAGATGTCACTTACTTTAATGAGTTTGTATGAGCACATTATGACTCCATTAGGAGGATTACTTATCCAGTTATCAGGCAAAGGCCCTCTACCAGTTTTATCACTAACATACAACGAGGGATCCTCTTCCTCCTTGTAGTCTGAGCCAACTAATGAATCATTTACTATATCAATGGTATCTAGAGAGGGAGAAAGAGAGGGGGGAGGGAGAGGGAGAGAGACAGAGAGACAGAGAGAGAGACAGAGAGACAGAGAGAGAGACTGATAGATGGAGATAGAGAGACATAGAGACAGAGACAGAGAGAGAGAGGGGGAGAGAGAGAGAGAGAGAGACAGAGAGACAGAGAGACAGAGAGAGAGAGAGGAGGGGGAAGAGTGAGTTACATGTACATGTATCATTGAGCAAATAAGTGTACATTATTTATTCGACTAACCTACATC